AAAAGAATCAGAAGATCATGAAGAAAGACCAGAAAAATTCAAAATACAAAAACAAGAAGGAGAACCATGTATAGAGAACTTTTTGGAGCAAATTTGAAAGAGATTAAAAAGACTAGAAGAAACAAAAAAGACAGCTAGGGAGAGCCTAGCTAATCACTTCTAAGAGCACCTTAGTTGAAATTATAAACAGGGATGAGGAGATTAGAAATTTTCTGCATGGTGAGAGAAGGATCTTTGAAGAAAGAAATAAAGAGAAGTTTCCTAATTCAAAAAAAAAAAAAAGAAAAAAAAAAAAGCAGAAAATACAGAAACAAGATATAAGCAGTTAAAAGAGAAATAGAAAAAAGAGAAAAAAGAGATAAAAATTGCATGTTACAATGTTAACAGACTTAAGACCAGAGGTTAAAAACTAAAAAACCTGTTAGGCTGGACAGAGAAAAAAGAAATAGCATTTTTGAAGATTATAGAAATGAACATTACAGAAAAAAAAGTAAAAATCTTAGTGCATAACCTCAATACAAGATTTAAAGGTTACTAGACAAGTGCAGTACCAGACAAGAAAAAAGAATTAAACATTGGAATTTTAATAGATAAAACTTGAGAGAAATGTGTAGAAGCAATTAAAAGACCTAGCAAATATATGATAGAAGTAAAGCTATACTTCAAACAACTAGTACTAATAGTGATAAAGGTGTATATTCTACCAAATAACAAGGCAACCAGTAAGAAGATATAGCAAAAAATTATGGAAATAGTAACAAACAGAAGAAAGCACACAGAAGTAATTATATTTGGAGATTTTAATCATACAGTTGACAACATACTAGATAGACTGCATCCACAAACAACAAGATATAAAAAACTGTCAGTTTTTAATTAGCTCAAAAGACAGGATTTCACAGACTCTTTTAGAAACTTGCATCCAACAGAGAGAGCATATACATGGTCAAACCAAGAAGCAGCAACAAGAATTGACTATATCTAGTTGTCAGAAACTATGATAGCTGACATTTAAGAAGCCAACATAGAAGAAGCAGAAGGAATAACAAGCAGTGATCATAAAATATTAATGACAATTATATAGTTAAAACATGTAATTGCAAACCAAAGTTGTGCAGAAATCAAATGCAAGGACCAAATAAGAACAATATATCTATATGAGAAAGCAAAGCAAGAAGATTGAAAAGAATACGCTAAAGAGTTTCAAGTACAATTAGAATAAAAAAAGATTCTGAAACAATTAGAAGAAGACAGAGAAGGCAATACACACAGTACAGATATGTTAGACTATATATGGAATGCGATAGAAGAAGCTATAACAAAAGCAGCAAATAAGCAAATTCCAAAAAAGAAGATATTCAACACAAAAGTAAACAGAAGACAGTATAAGAAGAAGCTACAGCAGAATATAAACATAATTGAACTTCAACAAATAATTAAAAGACAAAAATAAGAAAAAACCAAGAGATAGAAAAAGAAGAAAAAGAAGAGATAAACAATAAACTCAAAAACATTGGCAAGGAAATAAAAGTAGCATTACCGAAGTTACATAAACAATGATCAGAAGTATGAATAGATGACATAAAAGACTAGCAAAGAATTCTGAAAGATAAAAGAAAAGAAGAGTAGAAATGAGCTCTAAAGAAACAGATAGAAGAAAATATAAATAAAAGATTTGAGATGATAAAAACTGACCAAGGATAAATGATTGCTAGCCTACTGAATAAACTATACAAGAAGATAACGTTAGACAGATTTATGACCCAAATTGAAGACGAGGTGAGTCTAACAACAGAATCCAAGGCTGTCTTAAATGGTTTGGCAAAGCATTTTGAAAATCAATTCAGAAAGTGAAGAACCAAACTGAAGAAAATGTCAGAGGAATGGATAAAGATATATAATTTAAAAGAATAAATTAAGGAGTCTTGGTATGAGAAGTTAGAGGAAAAGATAGAGAAAGAAGAATGGAAAAACATGCTAAGAGAACTCAAAGCCAATATAGCTCCAGAAATTTCAGGCATAAGCTATACCCTAATAAAATAAGCAGAGAAGAAATTACAGAAAACTTTTAAAGCCTTCACAAATCTAGTTCTAAAAATAGGAGAAATGCCAAAAAAGTGAAAAATAACACAAATTTATTCAATCTCAAAAAATGTAGACTAGAAATATAATTTGAACAATATTAGACCAATAGCATTAATTGAGACTTTTAGAAAGGTAGTCACAAAGATAGTAACAAGAAAGTTGGCCAAGATATTTACAAAAAAAGAAATACTCAAAAGACCAAACTATACAGATTTGCCTAGCAACTTAACAGAGCAACTAATACATATACTAAATATGATAATAGAGGAAGTACAAGAGAAGAATAAAAAAATATAGATACTTCTACAAGATATAAAGAAAGCATTTGACTTCATCCCATTGGAAAGCTTAGAATGGACTCTTAAAAGAGTCAAGATACTATAAAAAACAACAAAATATATCATTAATCTCTTTTGCAAATATCAACTTAAAGTGATTACAACTTATGGCCTAATAGAAAAGATAATAACAGAAGATAGTATAGATCAAGAAGAGGTGATTTCTCTACTAATCTGGTAACTTTTTACAATCCATTGCTAGATAGAATCTAAGAAGATAATTCACTGTGTTATATAGTAGAACAAGAAATACTAAAGAATACAAACATTAATTGTATCACAAAACATAGGAAGGCAGCAATTGCTTATGCAGATGATACTACATGAATTGCAAAAAGCAAAGATCAATTACTAAAAACTCTTAAAATTGCAGAAGAGTTCTTTAAAGCAAATAATATTGAAATAAATAGAGCAAAGTCAAAGCTTATAGTAATGAATTCTAGACTGAGAAAAAAAAATAAAGAAATTACATTTGGACATAGTAGAATAATAAAAGAACCAAAAAACAAAATTGTAAAATCATTAAAAATTTGGCTAAATAGCAGAATAAAAAAGTCACTAGTTTGCAAAAAAGCAAAAGAAATAGTTAGCCAAACAGTTAAAGACCTCAGATACAAAAAAATGACAATGAGCCAGATTGCATATATAAACAATACAGTAATAATTCCAAAATTAGGATATCTTCTACAGTTAACAAGAATATTAGAAAATATGATCAACAAGATTTATTAACTGATAATATGTTTAGCAAAACAGAAATATAATATGATAAAAACAACAAACTAGAGGTATTACCCGGGTCACCCGACCCGATGGGTCACAGGTCAGAATTTGACCCAACCTGGGTCAAACGGGTCGGAATTAAGAATAAATTAACTGCTACTAATATTTGCAAATAACGTTAAATTACACTACATATAATCACATCTGTATTAAATTAATATCAGATATATACTGTTATTTAGTACGTCATACATATGTACGTACGTTGAGAAAGTCGGGACTGGTTCTAGATAGAACTCGTCCTTCGGAGAATAGTTACACAAGAACCTAAGACTATACACTTGACTAAAATCTACTATCCAATACACCAAAAACTCTAAATGGCAGGCTTCGATCGAGGCGTGGAAAGATATGGTCTGAGTTTTAGGCTCTTTGGGTATTTCTGTGGCTTACCTCCAGTACGGGAGTCTTAAGAGATAAGTATTAGGCTTTTAATTCAAATTGTGTTAATACTTTACTATAGCCTTTACTATAGTATCTTATTCAATTTTCAATTTTCCAGGTGCGGGTCATGGGATTTAAATCATGGGGACACAAGTAATAATATACTGCTTATTTTGATCGTTACTTGGAATAACGGTGTCACGTGCTTACGAATTTCGGCGAATTCGGTATCGGTTTATAAATCAATTTAAGTGTATTTCAATTACTTAATCACTATATAAGTAATTTTATGGTTACTAATTTGGAAATTTCTACTTTCTTTTTCTTACGATCAGGTTACAGTATTTTCGTTATCACGAGAACAAGAATTTGCGAAATGAGTTTTACCAACGATCTATTATTACCAAGGGGTTATAACTCAGAATTCAAGACTTCTACTTATTTATTATTCGAAGCACTTAATTGAACTCTTCGTGAGTTGCTTTATTCAAGGTGATTTCGTTTCATTTTTATACATTTTTCTTCATATACTATAAATTTCTAAAATTTACTAAATTTCTTCTTTTTCATAAATTTACGCTATTTCTAAAATTTATTCTTTTTATAAAATTGATAAAAAATAAAAAAAATTTAAAATTTCTAAAATTTTCGAAATTTGAAAAATTTTGAAAATTTTGCTGATCAATTCTTGGAAAGGTGCAGTCATCACGGGGAGGGTAAATTTGACTTTTACAATGTACATACAAATAAATATTTTTTAGATTCAAAATTTGAATTAATGTTAAATCGCACTCTTATCACCAAACTTTATTTGAAATGTTAGGCAATTTTTCTACTAATTTATTTTTTATTCACTTTGGTATTTATTTTTAATTTTTATTCTTTATTTCTTTACACAATGATAATAGTCAATTTTCTCTAAATAATACATTAATGTTCAATAAGATTTCTTAAATCTTTAGGCGATTTTTTATATCCACCTATCATGCAATAAGTTTCCCCTCTAATTCTTAATACAGACATACTGGTTTGTTATATTTTTATAAAATTTGTTTCTTCATAAAGTTTAAATGAATTATTTAATCTGCAAGCACTTCCAGGTGTTTAGCATTTTACTAACAAATAATTTCAGAATTATCCACTTAATAGCATTATTAAAATCATTTAAGTATAAAATTTTTTACCTGGTCAAAAATATATGAAACAGGCCAAAGTTTTAGGGCCTCCTTAAGTACTAAAATTGATTCAACAAATTGAGGGTTAAGCTTTGTTCTTTTTTCGGTAACAGTTAGACCCACATCTGAAAAAAGGCGTTTGGATGGCACTGACGTGGCTGGGATCGATAGATACTTGCGAGCAAGTTTAGCAAGTTTAGCAAGTATAGAGTAATCGGCTTTTCTTGAGGCCCACCATTGGAGTATGTCTGTTTCACTTAAAACTCTTGGTAATAGTAAATATGAGTTAAACTCATGATTAGTAATATTATCATCATCTTGTTCATTTGAATGTTCTTGCAAGTAAGTGGCTAAAGAATCAGAAAAAATGTCATCATCGGCATTCATTATATCACTAGGTACTGTATCTGAAATATTATCTACATAATAGTTAGTAGCTAATTCAAGATATTCTATGCGTGCTTCTGAAATAGTACGATTCTTTTCTTCTTCTGTAAAGATTTGCATATCTTTGGTTCGTGGATCAAGAAAAACAGCGAGTTGAATTGGCTTTGATGGTTCTAAAAATCGATTTTTGATTGATTCATGAAGAAGTGTTTTAAATTTTTGGACATTAACATTATTTGTTATTGCACAATCAAGTTTTCCTTTAATAAAATTAATCACGAACCATGCTTGAGAAAGTGTCAGATACTGGGAACCAGATAGTTTTTTTGTAACTACTTCATAAGGATACAATAATTTAACTAATTCAGTTACTTTTTCCTATTCATTAGATGACAGCTCTTTTTCTTTATAACTTTGCAATGTACTATTTTCATTACCTTCAACTAAAAATGATTTATACTTATACATTACAGGTTTAAGAATTGTTAGCTGTTTTAAAAGATAGAACGTCGAGTTCCACCTTGTTGAAACATTCTGAACTACAAAAAGAAAATTATCCCAATCCTCCATCTCCATTTGAGCTTCTAAAAAAAATTGTTTTTGTTTTGGGCTTCTACTAAAATGTAATACTAGGTTTTTACATTTTTTTATTAAATTTGTAATTTCAAAGCACTCTTTTAATGTATTATTAATTGCGAGTTGCAAGGTATGCCCAAAACAAAAAATTTGAAAAATATTATATTTTCATCCTAACCTTTCTAAACATGATTTAATATTATGCCTATTATCGACTGTACCACTAACAGTTATATGTTTGAGGTTGAGATTATCCAAAATTTCAACTATCTTATTAAAAAGACATTCGGAGGTGTAAGGATATGGAAAATATGAGATATTACCAATCATTTCTTTTACTTGAAAGCTATTATTAATCCAATGAAGGGTAAGTCCAATATATGGATCGCCATTATCTGACATTCACATATCGGTTGTAAATGAAACATGACTAATTTCAGCACTATTAAGTGCATATTCACGAATATTTTGCAAAATTTTATTTTCAGAATTAATAAGAATTTCTTTTAAACGGTCATTACTAAGTACATTAGCCTAGGCATCGAGTCCTTCAACAATTCTTTTAAGTGCCCGTGATTGAGTAATTGAAAATGGTTGAAGCTCTTTAACAATAAAAGCTGCTATGTTATTGTCAAGTTTTTTTTGTTTGGAGTTACTGAATGTATATTTTTTTGTTTTGTTAAATGCTTGTGTTAGTGTTGTTTGAGATGATTCGGGAATTATACAAAATTTACAACTATTATTCTTTACTACAACTTTTGCTTGACCATCTTCCACCATGGCTTGTGATATATGGTGTTTATTTCTCAAATATCGCCATAAATTAGAAGTAGAACCATCTTTTATGTATTTTGTTCTAGGAATACAAGCTTTATGATGACAAACCCAAAATTTAATATTATCAATTAATGTAATATTATAAAACACTTTAACAGGACTACCACCCTGCCTTTCAATTTTTTTTCGTTTGACTAAACCGGTTTGCGGTAATGCAGATAACTGAGGTAAATCTTCATTAACTAAAGATTGATCGCTAGTTTGTGAGAATGTGGGGGACTGGGGTGAATCTTCATTAAAATCCATATAATCAAATTCCAACTCATCCAAATTAACATCGCTATTCTCTAAAACTATATCATCTAAATGTTCGTCGCTCATTATTGTTGATTGGTATTTTCGTTGTTTTTAATAAATTAGGA